GACTGGATAAGAAAACATGACCCACACATATGCTACCTACAAGAGACACACCCTAGAGCAAGAGACCTACACAGATTGAAAGGGATGGAAAAAAAATATTCCAGGCAAATGGACAAGAGAAGAAAGCAGGGGTAGCAATACTTATATCAGACAAAATAGATTTCAAAACAAAGGCCATAAAAAGAGACCCAGAGGGACACTTAATAATACTTAAAAGAAGAATCCATCAAGACGACATAAACATTGTAAACTTATATGCACCCAACATAGAAGCATCCATATATATAAGGAAAATATTGGATGACTTCAAAAAAGATATAGACAGCAACGCACTGATAGTGGGGAATTCTAACACCCCACTGTCAAAAATGGACAGAGCTTCCAAACAAAACATCAACAAGGATATTGTGGAGCTGAATGATGCACTGAATCAGAGACTTAACTAACATATATAGAACCCTACATCCCAAAGAAGCAAACTACACTTTCTTTTCAAAGCACATGGAACTTTTTCAAAAAGACAACATGACAGGACACAAAGTAAGCCTCAACAAATTCTGGAAAATTGAAATAATACCAAACTTTTTCTCGGACCACAAGGGCTTGAAACTGGAAATCAACCTCAAAGAGAAACTTCAAAAACTTGCAAACTCATGGAGACTGAACAGTACTCTATTAAACAATGAATGGGTCAATAATGAGATAAGAGAAGAAATAAAAAAATCTCTGGAAACAAATGAAAATGAACAGACAACAGTCCAAAACCTATGGGACACAGCAAAGGCAGTCCTGAGAGGGAAGTTCATAGCAATACAGGCCTACCTAAAAAAGATAGAAACATTTCAAATAAAAGACCTAACACTACAACTTCAAGAATTGGAGAAACAACAACAAATAAATCCCAGAGCAAGTAGAAGGAAGGAAATAGTCAAGATTAGAGCAGAACTGAATGACATAGAGATGAAAAGGACAATTCAAAGGATCAACCAACCCAGGAGCTGGTTCTTTGAAAAGATAAATAAAATCGACAAGCCTTGAAGCAGACTCATCAAGAAAAAAAGGGAGAGGACCAAAATTAATAATATCAGAAATGAAAGAGGAGAAATAACAACTGATACCACAGAAATACAAAGGATTGTAAGAAACTACTATGAAAAATTTTATGCCAAGAAATTTGAAAACCTCGATGAAATGGACATATTTCTAGAAAAGTATAATCTTCCAACACTGAAGGAGGAAGAAACAGAAAACTTGAACAGACCAGTAACAGCTGGGGAAATTAAAGCAGTAATCAAGAAACTCCCGGCACACAAAAGTCCTGGGCTGGACGGTTTCACAGAAAAATTTTACAAAACATTTAAGAAAGAGCTAACCCTTGTCCTTCTCAGACTATTCCAAAAATCCAAGAGGAGGGAAGACTCCCAGACTCTTTTTATGAGGCTAGCATCACCCTCATCCCAAAACCAGATAAAGAACCTACAAAGAAAGAAAACCACAGGCCATTTTCACAGATGAATATAGACGCTAAAATCGTCAACAAAATATTGGCAAACCGCATCCAGCAATACATTAAAAAGATTATCCACCATGATCAAGTGGGATTCATCCCAGGGATGCAGGGATGGTTCAATATACGCAAGTCAATAAATGTAATATATCACATAAACAAAAGGAAAAACAAAAACCACATGATCATCTCGATAGACGCAGAAAAAGCATTTGATATGGTACAGCACCCATATGATCAAAACACTCAGCAAAATGGGAATAAATGGGGCATTCCTCAACGTAATAAAGGCCATATATGAAAAACCTACAGCCAACATCATGCTCAACGGGCAAAAACTGAAAGCTTTCCCACTAAGATCGGGAACATGACAAGGATGTCCGCTTTCACCGCTTCTTTTCAACATCGTATTGGAAGTCCTAGCCACAGCGGTCAGACAAGAAAAAGAAATAAAAGGCATCCAAATAGGAAAGGAGGAAGTAAAACTATCATTGTTTGCAGATGACATGATAGAAAACCCTATAGACTGCACCAAAAAACTACTCAACCTAATAAGTGAATGTGGCAAAACAGCAGGATACAAAGTCAATATTCAGAAATCAAAGGCATTTTTGTACACCAGCAATGGAATAGAAGAAGAATAAATCAGGAAAAAAATACCATTCAATATAGCGAGAAGAAAAATAAAGTACCTAGGAATAAATTTAACCAAGGAGGTAAAAGACCTGTACACAGAAAACTAGACAATATTGAAGAAAGAAATTAAGGAAGACACAAATAAATGGAAGCATATACCGTGCTCATGGATTGGAAGAATTAATCATCAAAATGTCCATACCACCCAAAGCAATTTATAGATTCAACACAATCCCTATCAAGATACCAATGACGTATTTCTCAGAAATAGAACAGACATTTCAAAAATTTATATGGAACCATAAACGACCCCGAATAGCCGCAGCAATTTTGAGAAAGAAACACAAAGTAGGAGGGATCACAATACCGGACATCAAACTCTACTACAAAGCCACTATACTCAAAACTATCTGGTACTGGCACAAGAACAGACCCATAGACCAGTGGAACAGAATAGAAAACCCAGAAATAAGCCCAGGTCTATATGGGCAACTAATATTTGACAAAGCGGGCAGAAGCATAAAGTGGAGTAATAATAGCCTCTTCAACAAATGGTGTTGGGAGACCTGGACGGCTACATGCAAAAAATTGAAATTGGATCATCCGCTGACACCATACACAAAAATAAACTCAAGATGGATAAAAGACTTAAATGTAAGTCACAACACCATAAAAGTCCTAGAAGAGAACATTGGCAGGAAACTCAGATATCCTACGCAGAAATTTTTTCACCGATATGTCTCCTAAAGCAAGGGACGTAAAGGAAAGAATAAACAAGTGGGACCTCATCAAAATAAGAAGCTTCTGCATGGCGGAAGAAAACATCAGCAAAATGAAAAGAGAGACAACCGTATGGGAAAAGATATTTGCTAATGATTCATTAGATAGAGGTTTGCTCTCCAAGATATATAAAGAACTCACACGACTCCACTCCAAGAAGACAAATGATCCAATCAAAAAATGGACAAAGGACCTGGACAGATGCTTTTCCAAGGAAGAGATACAGAGGGCCCAGAGACATTTGAAATGATGCTCAGTGTCACTAGGCATCAGAGAAATGCAGATCAAAACCACCATGAGGTACCACCTCATACCGGTCAGAATGGCCATCAAAAACAGATCAACAAACAACAGCTGCTGGCGAGGCTGTGGAGAAAAGGGAACCCTAGTCCACTGTTGGTGGGAATGAAGACTGGTGCAGCCACTGTGGAAAGCAGTGTGGAATTTCCTCAAAAAGCTGAAAATGGAACTGCCTTTTGATCCAGTGATTCCCCTACTGGAACTATACCCTAAGAATCCCAAAACGCCAATTCAAAAGAACCTATGCACCCCAATGTTCATAGCAGCACAATTGACAATAGCCCAGTGTTGGAGGCAACCTAAATGCCCATCAGTAGATGATTGGATCAAAAAATTATGGTACATTTACACAATGGAATACTACACAGCAGAAAGAAAAAAAGAACTACTCCACTTTGTGAAAGCATGGATGGAACTAGAGAGCATTATGCTAAGCGAAATAAGCCAGGGGGCGAAATACAAATACCATATGATCTCGCCTATAAGCAGAACCTAACCAACAATACAAAGATGCAAGGAAAATAAGACCAGCAACACTGGAAAAAAAAAAACCCCAACAAAGACAAGAGGGAAGGAGGGAGGGTTGGGCGGGGGAAAAGGAAGGGAAGGGGCAAGTAGAGGAACATATAGCAAGGACTCATGGACAATCCCAAAGTGGGGAAGGACTGAGGGAGGGAGGGGGAGGGGGGCTGGGGAAAGTTGTGGGGGGTAAGCGGAAACTAATGTATTTGAAAAAATAAATATTTTAAAAAATTTAAACAATGTTATTTTTCCTTAGGACTTTTCTAAATTTGTCTGTATTTTTTAAAATGACTATTTCAAAAAAAAGCCTAATTTTAGTTATTTTTGGAAAAATTTTAATGACAAAGTGTTCATAATATGTATTAATGTGAAAAAGTATATAAAACTGTACATACAGTATGACCTCAGCCATATGTATATCTTTAGGGAAATAACAGGTGCTTTCTTTATACTGTTAGATTTTCCATGTTTACTAAAGCAAGCATATATTACCACTATAAATGATAATATATTTAAAGGGCACAAATAGATGGATTATCTTTGGACAGAGGGAAGGCTCTTTAAGATTTAAAATGAAACGAACAAGAACTGAGAGGGACAGAGTTTGTTGGTAGCGGAATAGGACAATGAGAGAGTTCACATGTAAGGGACTATAATCTCAGAAAAGCAGAAGGCAAGCACATGTATAGCAAGCAAAAATGGTGGGTAGGACCAGTAATACTACATTAAGAGTGAAAGTTTGGAACAAACCTATGGGACCACAGAGAACTGTCAAAAAGCACAGGGCTCAACTAAGGTTCTTTAAGGAAAAAAGGGAATGGTATTATTTAGTATTATTTTCAAATTTGTAAATCGTTCATAAAGCTTCTTAAAAATGTCAGATCCCCCTCCCAATCACCCAGTTCATCCAAGTAGCGTCTAAGTAATCCACATTTTCAACAGGAGAGTGTTCAAGGTGAGCTCAGACCATGTTCTAGGAAACAGTGGTTCGGAGTCTGGCCTGAAAACAAAAGGCAAATTTACTGATTTAGAAAATTTTTTCAGGTTCTCTCCACTTTCATAATTTTAATATATACAGAGAACCTATGTGTTTTTTGTTTTCTTTTTGTTTGTTTTGTTTTAGAATTTCAGGAGAATAAAGATCAGCTTAGGAAGACAAGTAAGAAAGGAGTAGCAAAGGCAAGACATACAATAGTCAAAAAATATACTATTATCTGTACTGCAGAACTCCAGGCCAAACTACTTAGGACCTTACCTTTAACAGGAGAGGAAAATTACTCTTCAGAGAATTAGTCACACCATTTTCATACAATTTTTTTCTTGTGAAGTTTTCATTCACATTCCCACCACCAGACTGATACCTTAATAATGACTTTAGCATGGTTTCAAAAGGGTCCGCTGAAACATACAAATTAAACATTTTTAAGTCAAAGTAATGACTCAAAAAAACTCTCCAGCAAAAGGATATAGAGATCAGGGAAGTATGGAAATGTATCGGAAAGCAACTTCTTTTTCCCACAACTCCTTTAAATGTCTCTCCTAAATAAGAAAAGTTCAAGAGGCAATAAAAATTGGCAAGAGTACAATATCCTGACTGAGAACTTCACTATAAACCATTAATATTTGCATAAATATTCTTCCTACATGACAATATCTTTGACTTTACACAAACAGCTCATCCACTGATTTTAAAAAATTGACAATGCTGTATAATTGTCAAGTATAGAGTTAAAATCACTTAGCTGTGTTCAAAAATTTCTTTTCTCCTTTATTCATTATTCAAAGTGTTTCTTTGATGACTTCATTGTGTTCACACACATACAAAAATGCATTCTCATGGTAAACAATTAAAACATAGTAAAACACAATGACAAAAGTAAAATACATCTAAATCTCACCATAGAGATACTCAGTGTTAAATATTTTAGATTTTTTTAGAGCAGTTAGCATTTCTTCACAGAGATAGACAGAAAAATATGTCAGATTTCACAAAAAACTACAGTCCCTTCTTTCAGAGCACTTGTCTCAGTTCATTAGTGTGATCATTTCAACGCTGTTTACATGCTTACCCTACTCTCCAACACTAAATTATAAACTCCATAGGATCAGAGACCACATCTGGTTTTTCTCAGCATTGTAATTTCCTGACAGAGCCATCTTTCTGTGTTGTGGAAATTGAGCACCAATTCAGGTCAGACCACCTAGCTTCAAGTCTCAGCTCCATCACTAATAGTGGTATGACCTTGGGCAAATGTCTTAACCTCTCTTAACCTCAATTTTGTCTTCTATTAAATGGGAATAACCAACAATACCTACTTCATAAGATTTTTCTGAGGACTTAATATTTATAAGGGTTTATAATAATGATGCTGACACATAGTAATTGCTATACAAGTATTTGATAAACAATGAAATAAATATGCATCATTATATTAAGGCCTGAAAGTAGTATTACAAGCATTCTCTTATGCAGCCATTGATAAGTATTTATTCACTTATTTATATTATAAATAATACTAATAAGTCTCATTTAAGTGATTATCAATTCATGATAAACTCCTGAAGATTATTACTGCTAAGTCAAATATCACCGCTAACCTTCTCTTCAGAAAGTCTGTAAAACATTTATATTCCATGATTCTCCATTCCCTCATCAACAATGAGTTTTGTCAATATTTTTCATCTCTTTAGTCTGACAGAGAAAACCTCATTTTTATTTGCATACCACTGATTATTAGTGAGGTTGAAATCTTTTCATTTGCTTATCGGCCATTTATGTTTCTTCCGTATTAATTATCTTGTTGTTACCCACTTTTCTACAGTTGCATTTTATTTTTTATTAGTTTTTATTTATTTTATAAATACATAGATGGGAAACAGTTTTCCTATTTCTTTTAAACTTTTTCATGATAACTTTTTATTTTACAAAAACATAGTCATCAATTAATACACATGTATAGTAATGAGTAGCCATATAATAGTAATGAGTAGGTGTTTCTATTGTACTAAAATTTTTCATTTTTATTTAGACAGATTTGTTCATCTTGTGCTTGATGGCCCCTAGATCTCATGCCATGGTAAGAAAGGGTTTGTCAACACTCCTCTCAAAAACTTAATATTTAACTATGTTTTCTACTCTTGCTTTTATGATACCATATTTTAATCATTTGGAATTTATTTTGATACGAAGAATACGGCAGGGATTCTGATTTTTTCCCCAGATAACTTGTTTTCCCAATCCCATTTACTAGCCTTCCCCTTTATCATAAAATGCTCTCTTTATCATATATACTTGGTTTATCTACTAGACTACTTACTCTATTACATTAGTTTATCTAGTCCTATCACAGTACAAGATTCTTTAAATTAATAGTTTTATAATACACAGTTCTATTTGATGGTAGACGTATTCCTCTCATTAATGTTCTTTTCTAGATGTTTCCTGGCTGCTCATGTATATCTACTCTTCCAGATGTACCCTGGAATTATTTTTTCAGGTTCCCCTAAAAATTCACTTTGGGATTTATATATATGCGCACATACACATATACATAGTAGGGGGACCCCAAAAAACCCAGAATTATCCTCTGGAGGGTGGGCTCTTTGTAGTACAGGATTCCCCTGCTAGGTGACTGTTCTAGAAACCCACCCATAGCAGCATGCCAGCTGGCGTTGTGAGAAGCTGCATTCGGCTTCAGCAAAATTTTTTTTGAAGACTCTTTCAACATTTTGCCCATTTCACAACGGATGATTTACAAGTGTACCTGCTCACACCGCGTAGAATGTTCAGCAGTTTTTGAGCAAAAAACAACATGACCCCCATGCCCCACCCTCCCTTTTCACCTAACCTTGCCCAGAGTGACCTTTTTTGGTATCCCCAGAAGAAAAAAGTTCTCAAAGGGAAACATTCTGCTGATGTGGAACAGATGAAACAAAATGGGCAGAAGCACTAACAGGCATCAAAATTGATGAGTTCAAAAACTGTTTGAGCAATGGAAAAAATGTCTCGCTAGGTTATTGCATCAAATAGAGAGTACTTGGAGGTGACTGAAGTTTAAAGATGTAAGAATGCACAATTTTTAAAAAATAAATTCTGGTTTTGTGGAAGTACCCCCTCATATATGAAAAAAATAATCATTTTACAATACTGTGTCTTAAATGAGGTACATAGTATAAAGCATTCAATGTAAGATAGCTATTCCTATCCAAGAACAATGTATAGTTCTTTATTTATAGGCATTTCTTCTTTAAAGAAAAGGATCAGCTAATTAGAAAGAAAATTAAACTTACATGTCTGATTGGGGTTGATATGCTGCTTCAGTACATCAACAGTGCCCAAACTAACCACAAGGCGTCTGCCAAACCAGAAAGAGACTACAGGCCCATATCTCTCATGCAAATTAACCAGGAACTCATGCAAACTTCCACTGTTCACAATATCTGGAAGATTACCATCTCTGAGAAAAGAACAAGATGTGACAAAATAACAATTTAACTTGAAATATCAGAAAAGCTACAATTAATTATGAGTTAACTGTGTCAAGAAATGAGACCAAAGGTCTGTGATTTTCAATTACTGCAAAACCCAAAACTCAATTATATTTGACATCTTGCTTTCTACAGATATATTTAGATATGGCTTTTCTTTGATATTTTGAGAGCTCATAATACTCAAACCAAATAAGAAAGGTACATCACGTCATCATGTAACAAAAAACATCACATCATCTATGGCAACTTTTTTCTTTCTTCCTTCTATCTTAATACTGTCTATTTTCAACTTACTTTGGCCAGAGGAAATGAATGTAATTAAAGGTTTTGATTTATACAGCCTTCCTTTCTGTTCTTACTGAAGTTTAGGTTGTATTCTGAGAGGTAAGTTAAGAGTAAATAAAATAATTAAATAAACTGATTAATCTAAAAATTTGGTTTAGCTTCGATACCAAAAATTAAGAGTTGACTCTATTTGATTCCAAAAAAATAATTACTCACTTTTCCTCAGTTGGAGTAGTCCCCGGAATTCCTGCAGCTTGTCTGGAAGCCTTAAGGAAAAATATTTTTACAGTTTATTTAGTATCAAGAATTATCAACATCGTGTAAGTCAGATGTGTTTTGCTATGACATCCACAGAACCTTAAATGGTGGCTTTCCAAATCAGATATTATTTCTGTGTTAAATACAAGAACTGGGTTCTTTGTACTTAAAAGAATTATCTTAATGTTCCTCTTCTGTGTCAATTAAACTAAAGTGTTTGATTAATTTTCTACATAAATTAACACACAATCAAGCACACTTTTCTTTGTTCAATGTCTATATATGCTCCCATCTGGCTTGGCTTAAAAAACTAATGTGATGTTATAAGAGTTTCATTCCTAAAATAGTTCTCCTCTTTCTAGTCAAAGTTGTTACCAAAATACAATATGATATTCATCTTTTGCTTTAATAGTTATTTTTGTCAGGGTCATAAAGTCATGGAGGTGTCTGGTACAGGAATAATTAACAAACTAATTCAAAGCAAATTGTTCAAATGACAGACATTAAGAAATGAACTGGGGAGAAGTTTGGGGAATTTCTGTAAGTTGGTAGCAGGTTTTCAGTTGCTGTGTTTGGGGTCAGTATTATTTTTAATTTTATAATAAGCAGATAACTTTTTTTGGTATTTTCTTTTTTTAATTATATTTTATTGATTATGCTATTAGAGTTGTTTAAATTTTTCCCTTTGGTCCCCTCCACCCAGCACCCTCCCTCCCTCAGGCAATTCCATCACCATTGTTCATGTCCAAGCGTCTTGTGTTTAAGTTCGTTGGCTACTCCATTTCCTATACCATTCTCTACATCCCCATGGCTATTCTGTAACTACCTATTTGAACTTCTTAATCCCCTCACCTCTTCACCCGTTCCCCCACACCCCCTCCCAGCTGGCAACCATGAGAATACTCGCTATATCCATGATTCTCTGTTCTTCTTGTTTACTTAGTTTGTTTTTTAGAGTCAATTGTTGATAGATATGTGTTTATCGCCATTTTACTGTTCATAGTTTTGATCTCCTTTTTCTTAAATAAGTCCCTTTAACGTTTCATACAATAATGGTTTGGTGATGATGAACTCCTTTAGTTTTTTTCTTATCTGGGAAGCTCTTAATCTGCTTTTCATTTCTAAGTGACAGTTTTGCTAGGTAGAGCAATCTTGGCCATAGGTCCCTGTTTTTCATGGCTTTGAACATTTCTTGCCAATCCCTTCTAGCCTGCAAAGTTTCTTTTCAGAAATCATCTCACAGTCTTATGGGAACTCCCCTGTACATAACTAACTACTTTTCTATGGTTGCTTTTAAGATTCTCTCTTTATCTTTAACCTTTGGCATTTTAATTTAATGTATCTTGGAGTGGGCCTCTTTGTATCCATCTTGTTTGGGACTCTCTTGCTTCCTGGGTTTGCATGCCTATTTCCTTCACCAAATTAGGGAAGTTTTCTTTCATGACTTTTTCAAATAGATTTCTAATTTCTTGTTCTTTCTCTTTTCCTTCTGGCATCCCTATGGTGCAAATATTGGACCTTTTGAAGTTGTCCCAGAGGCTCCTTACACTATCCTCACTTTTTTTGGATTCTTTTTTCTTCTTGTTGTTCTGATTGGTTGCTTTTTGCTTCCCTATGTTCCAGATCATTGATTTGATTCTCAGCTCCATCCGCTCTACTGTTGTTCCTTGTAAATTGCTCTGTATTTCAAATAGTGTATCCTTCATTAAGTTCACTGAGCATCCTTATAAACAGTGCTTTTTGAATTCTGAATCTGATAGACTGCTTATCTGATAGATTGCTTATCTCCATTTTGTTTAGCTCTTTTCCTGGAGTTTTGATCTCTTCTTTCATTTGAACCATATTTCTTTGTCTCATTTTGGCAGCCTCCCTGTGTTTGTTTATAGACTTCCTGTCTTGGTAGCATGGCCTAAGGTAGTAGGTGCCCTTTAGGGTCCAGTGGCACAGCCTCCCCATCACCTAAGCTGGTTACTCAAGGTGTTCCCTTCTTCCCTTCCTGTGGGCTAAGTACACCCTCCTCCTGTAGCTGGGCCTTGATGCTGTTGGCAGGTCAATGGGAAGGATTTACTTAGGCCAGTCAGCTGTAAGAACTGGCTATGACCATTAATCACCAACCTCCACCTTCTGTGGAGGCTCGGCTGTGCAGGGGCAGAGCGGTGGAGCCCCAATGTGATTTGCAGCTATCCTCTGGGTGCACAGGCTCTGGGGTTTCCCAGGTGGTGCAGGTCAAGGTCAGCCCCCAACTGTGTTCTGCCTGGGGCCACGCTGCATGAGGTATAAAGCAATCTGAGATGGCTGCTATTTGTACAGGGCTTGGAGATCCCAAGTGAAACCAAGCTGCGAATCTAGGCTGGCTGCTGCTAGTGCTGGGCCTGGGACCACTTAGAAAGAAACCAACCCCTAGGCTGGTAGCATAATGAGGCCAGCTCTTGCTTTTGAGAGGATTTAGGAAGTTTTGAAGTAGGAGCCAAGACCAGCCATCATATGGAAAAGTCACAGTTAACAGTTTGGGTGGGCCTGTAAGTTGGGTGGGATGGAGTCTCAGGGGATCTCCAGGGTAAGGCATACAGTGTTAGCCAGGTTGATGGGGTCTCAGATACGGCACCTACCAGTCTGGATGGATGTGGTTTCTTTAATCCTGTAGTTGTCAGACTTCCATTCGACTTGATTTTTGCCAATTCTGAGTATAGGTTGTTCTACATTTTAGTTGTAATGATGACGTCGTTGTGCAAGGAGGTGAGCTGTGTTTACCTATGCTGCCATCTTATTGAGGTGCATTTAACTTTTATATAAGACTTTTATAAAATAATTCTTACCCCTGACCGGTGTACTCAACTGATTGGGCATCATTCTGGGAAACTTAAGGTAGCTGGTTTGATTCTCAGTCAGGGGACATGCCTGGGCTATGGGTTTGGTCCGCAGTGGTTACTGAACGCAAACAATCTGATTGTATTCAGTAACCAGAAAGGCAGGATAAGACACAAGACTTTAACAATTAGTAAAAAGTCAGACCCTGCTCTGGGTTGCTCAGTTCATTGAAGCGTCATCCCGTACACCAAAAGGTTGTGGGCTCAATCCCAGGTCAGGGCACATACCTAGGTTGCAGGTTTGATCCTTACTTTCAGTGAGTACGGGAGGCAACCAACTGATCGATCTCTCTCTCTCAAATCAATAAACATGTCCTTGCGTAAGGACTAAAAAAAAAGTCAAAGTCAATATATAGAACCCTTACACACATACGTAGGTATCCTTCTCCATTCCTGTGATTACTATCCTTCTTGAAGGAGACCTCAATTTCAGATTCAAGAACAACAAGCTGGGGAGGGGCAGGCCCCTATAATTCTAAGGGAAGGTTATTTCCAACCTAGAACTTATACCTAGCCTAACTATTATTCAAGTATAAAGCCAGAACAAAAGATTTTCAAATAAGCAAGGTCTCAAAAAATGTATTTTCCGTGCACACTTTTTTAGAAAGCTATTGGAAAATGATCCTCCAGAGCAAATAAAGGAAGTAAAAAAAGAGAGAGAGCGAGCATGAGAGAGAATCACGTGGCATCTAGGAAACAGGGTATCCAATACAGGTGAAGAGAACACCCACAATAATAATAAAAGAACAAGAGCTATGCAGCCCAATGAAATGGTAAGTAACCAGTACTGACCGGCGAAAGATGACGAAGGGGTCCAGAAAGGGTATCCTCATAGGAGAGAACATAACAGCAGATGTCTTTGAATACTGGGACAATTTCACACAATAGTTTTATGTTGCAATGTTGAAAAAAACTACTGATAGGCAAAAGTGAGGACGTTCTAATGATGTGCAAAGGTAAGTACAATCACTCCCCACCACTCTCATCCTGGCTTCCACCATTCCATCAACAGGCATAAAGAGGGAGCCTCCAAAGGCTGTGTACGCTGGATGAGATGGCTTCTGCACCAACCTTCACACTTCATTGGCAGAAATGAAGTATGAGCTCCAGAACTCTAAGTAGAATGCTCTCCTGCACTTAACTATGTCCCTATCTCCTAAACAGCTACAATGATGAGACAGATCCCAAATCTGGCATGCACCGGGCAGGGTCCAGCAAAACTTCAACCTCCCCAGTAATTGTAGCCTTATCATTACCATCTTCCTTGAGACCATCCAGAAGAATAAAAGGACTTCTTTTCCTTACTTACATTAGATACCACATGAGGCTTAGGATTACTATTCCCAGGTCTTCCCTCATCCCCCAGATTCCTATTCCTACAAGTTTATCCTCTTTCCTGACCCAGCTCTCTTCCACTCAAACCTCCATCCTACTTTGTCACTAATTCCCATGGCCATGCACTAGATCTTACGACCACCAATAACTTCAACATCTCTAGAATTTTAACATTAAACATCTAAATCTCCCAGCATCTTGTATCTTTTCTTCTTACTACTTTAAAACATTTTTTATTTATTGACTTTAGAGAGAGAGAAAGACTGATTTGTTGTTCCACTTATTTATGCATTTACTGGTTGATTCTTATATGTGCCCGGACTGGGAATCAAACCTGCACCAGGACCACACTTGCCAACTGAGCTACCTGCAAGGGCTCTTCTCACTATTTTTAATATCTTGATCCCAGAAACTACTTTTACCCCAAAGGACTTTTAACTCACTCACTCATATACTCATTTCCCAGTCTAACCATAGTAGGTCATTATAACCACTCCTTTGCATATACCCTTAACTCCTTTATCCTGTATCCTTTTGTCATAATCACCTAACAAAACACCTAATTTTTATTAAATCCAATGTTCTGTTAACTGCCTCTGAACCCACACAGCTGACAAAAAACAGCTGGAAAGAAACACGGCCACACTGACTAGTCTCATTTTAATTTCATGAACTTCAAGTGAACTACCTAGAAATTACACATTTCCCTAGTCCATTGCTTTTCTAATCTAGATGACTATTTTGCTACTTCTCTCTCTTCAAATCCCCTGACCTAATCAATAACTGATAATCTTGCTTCTATTTTATTGAAAAAATAAAAGCAATCAAGAGATTATTTCCACACATAGCTACCTATCTGCCTACAGTTGTCCCCATACCTTTCATCTTCCCTCCTATGACTATGGATGAACTATCTATTCTCCAAATGGAGTGTACCCCCATCCCTCCTATATCCACACTAGATCCCATCCCCTACTAAAGAAAATTGTTCCAACCTTCCTCTTCTGTTCTTACATCATCAATTTTCCCTAATGATTTGACAATCTTCACCAGCATAATAACATAATGTAATTCCTCCCACCTCAAAAATTTCCATTTACCTCACTTCCCTCATCACCTACCACCCCCCTTTCCAGAAAAACTCTGAAGAATTGTCTATACTTGATATCCCTAAACTCACTACATGCAGGTTTATCATCCCTACCATTCCACTGAAATTGCTCTTCTTTAAATGATCAATGCAAAGAAATTGTCAGGTGTTACCTTACTAGACATACTTGCAACATAACTTAGCTGATTACTGGCTTCTGTTTAAAATACTTGGCTTCCTTCTATTTATCTGGCTGTTCCTTGTCAGTCTCCTTTGTTGGCTCTTTTTCCTCTCCTCAACCTCCAAATATTGGAGAGTCCAGGGCTTGTCCTTAGACCTCTTCTCTCCTGTATTTATCTTTACTCCCTGGGAAATCACAACTAGTCTAGCTTTAACTACCATTTATTGATATGCTCACAGCTCCCAAAATGACATCATCAGCTTGGACTTTTTCTTCCACTCAAGACTTATGTGCCCCAGTGTCCATTCAGCATCTCCACCTTGGTGTCTAACAGGCATCTTATGTCTAGCCTATGCAAAACCAAACTCCTGATCTCTATGAATCCCCACTACCTCCCACCAAATAAAACTAAACAAAAACAAACAACAAAATCCTAATTTCCCTGGAGTTAATTCATTCTTCCAGATACTCAGGCTAAAAAATTTGTTTTCCTTGATGCCTCTTTCTCACATTTCACATCCAAACCAATGGCAAATCCCACCGGTTTTGTCTTCACAATACACTGCGTCTCACCAACTCTGCTCCCTGGTCCATGCCAAAACCATCTCTCACCAAACTTATTATAACAGCCTCCTAACTACTCTGCCAGCTTCTATTCTTGCCTCAGGTCCAGAAGTATATTTTTAACATAACAGACAAAATGAATTTTTTAAAATATAACTAACAAAATTAAATTTGAACTCTCTAAAATGTAAAATGTCACTCTTCTGTTGAAACCCTCCAGTGGCTTCTCACCTCAGAGTAAAAGCCACACCTATAAAATGGCCTACAACTAAAATCTGCCCTTCATCCCCATAATTGGGGCATTATCTTTCTTAACTAGTCTCCACTCCGGCCACAGCCATCCCCTTGTTTTTCTGGAACACACTAGGCATGTTTCCCACTGAAGGTTTACACTTGCTCCTCTCTTTGCCTGTAAGGCTTTCCCCGATACTTAAAGGGCTTGCTCCTTCATCCCCTTCAGGTCTTCTCTCAAATGTCTCCTTACTTCTTGACCATCTACTTAAAACTAACAATTCTACCTACCCCCAACTTTATTTTTCTCCATAACATTTAACATTAACATACTATATATGTTTTTTGTTTATGTTGTCTATTTCCCCTCACTAAAATATAAATTCCCTAAGTCTGTGTAGATGCTCACTGCTGCATCCCCAGCACATAAAGCGCTGTCTGGCACACATTTGGTTAAAAGAACAAATAGTATTGCTCCTAATAACTAATTAAAGTATAGTCTCGTATAAAGATTATCAAAAATCCAAGACCTGGAACTACTAAATGTAGATTCTTAGAAAGATAAACCAGAAATTCCAGATTGTGCAGTTGCAATATTCCAGTCTAATCTATTTACCGGATCTGAAAGTGGTTAAAGTATTCCATCATTCTCAGGGATGTAGTTGCTGCTGTTCAGCTACTTCACAACGTTTTCTATCAAATCACCACCTTGCTTTGGAGAACACGTTTTCAGAACCACACTCCGTGGTTGACAGAGGCAAGGGGAGAAAGAAGACTAGCGTGAGATTCAGAGATAAAGCACAGCGGCCAAGAGAAGCTCAAACAGAAGCCACCACAGCGCTCATTCCACGGCCCGATCTGCCTCTGCGACCCTACGAGCGAGCAGCGAGACCCAGCCTGGGCCTTCAGGACTTGGGATTCGGGTAACGACAGGTCAAAAGACAGGTGTTAAGGCAGCCTTCACACACACACTGCTGGGAGAATCCTCGGGGAAGGATTAAGGAGTGGCGCACCCCGGAGCTTCCTCCCAGATACACCAGAAAATGAAATTTGCGTTTGTCACTTACTGCCAAACAGCCACCCAAAGTACTTGAGACCCGCCCAAAACAGGGCGCAGGAAGCCGGACCTCGAGGACCAGCCCTCAGCGCTCCCTGGGCCAGGAGTGCTTTTCTCGGGCTTCCTGGCGCCCCTACTCGCGCCCGCGCAGCTGAGCTGCCCGCCCACCCTCCCGCCCGCGCCCTGGGAAGTCTCCGGGCCACTGGCGCAGCTCTCCCCGTAGTACGGGTTGCGCACGCCGGGTGTGGCGTCCGACACGTCTTCCGAGCGCTGCCCCAGCGCCGGGCAGGAGCTGGCGCGGGAACCGTCTCCTGAGGCCCGCCCCCTGAGGCCCGCAGAAAGCAGAAAGACGTGGATAAGGGCCAGACGGGCCCTGGGGCAGCGGCCAGACCCCCAGAGGGCTGAGCCGGCGATTACCGGGTAGAGGTAGAGCACTGCTGCCACCAACGCCAGCAAGAAGGTAACAGCGAAGATCGCGAAGTCCAACATGGCCTTCTGCCCGGCAGCCACGTCTTGGATCCCCTGCTCGAGCAGCTGCGCCGCGTCCGGGCCGGACCTCAGGAACAAGCGGCTGGGCTAGGCGCCCTGCTGGACCTGCGAGCGAATGGGTGCGGGGGGGGGCGTGGCTAAGGCCGGACCCAGGGCTGGCGGGAAGAGCAGTGGGTACGGAGGAGTGGCGGGGGAGGGGGCTTCAGGACACGCCCACGTCTTGGGCACTGAGTTGCTGGGGAAAGCAGAGCCCAGGCTTCTAAAAAACGGTAGGAGTTGTCGTCGTTGTACCCCGACCAACGCTTTTTCCATTGGATTTAAGATTGAAGCCTCCAAAACAATAATTCTCACTGTTAGCTTCCTGGACTAGCGGCAGCAGCATTGCCGGGGAGCTCTCTAGAAGTGTAGATTCTCCCTCGCACCCCAGACCTGCAGAATCAGACTCTCGGGGAGGGAAGGGGGCCCAGCAATCCGTGTTTTAACAAAGCTGTTAAAACGCGGTGAGAGCCTCTGATCTAAAGTAACCTGAACGGGGACATGTCAGAGTCAAGCACCTTTAGAGGTTTCCTGTTTCGCAAAAGAATTTGTGTTTGAAGCGGTAGGAAACGTGAATCCGTGACAATATTTGGCACCGCCCGTGAGAAAAAGTGGTATGCATTTCAGCATTTAGCATTAGATGTTCTAAACTAGGATTCCTCTTCTTCTATTTCACGTGAGTTTTGACATGGATAATGTACGGCAAAGCCTGCTATTTACTGCTCCTCCATTTAGTGAAAGCGCCCTAAAAGTGTTTATATATTTTATAGCTTTAGTAACATAAAGTGACCAAAGGGGAGCGGGGCGGGGAGCAGTAATTCAGCAAAACAAATCATTCCAGATTACATTTTAGAGCTTCTATAATAATTCACTTATTTTATGACTATACGTGAAACAAGTCATTGAAAATGACAAAAAAAAATGTTGGCATTTATAGCAAATGGAACAAAATGTTGCTGAGATTTAATTCTGCAGAAATTCTTTGAACTTCAGTTGTCTGAGTACAGATATGTTTCAAAAGTTCACTTTTCAATCTCTTCTTTGCAATTTGAAGACATTTCCTATCGAAAACATGTTCCAAATAGGTTTTCAAAACAGTAGATATCAGATTTTTAAATGCATAATGTTGAAACATAATAGTAACCCTAGCTCTAGGCACCAATCCTCCAGGATACCTGGACTCATTTCCCTTTAGTCCTAAATTGACCATTTTAGTCCTAAATTAACCTGAGACTCGAACTTTGAGAGTCTGTGAAAAAGACAGAAATTACAGAAGTTGAGCAAGACACAGTGTTTTAAACTATACAACTTCCTCTTGTATTCTTCAAACTTTTGCCTAAATGCTTCCTAAAAGGATTTTTGAAAAACCATATCTATGTATATACTTTCACACATTTTTGTGTTGACATCTAAAATTTTTATCTTCACTTTAAAGGATTAAATTTCTTATAATAAAATATGTCTTATAAATATTCACATTTTGAAATCCCTTTTAAATGTATAAAAAGGAATTTAAATGCAATAGTAATGTCATGACTATAGCATTTTTTTTTTTAATATATAAACTCTGTGAAGAGCTGGAACTCTTGCTGTGCCATCTGTGCCAGTTTGGGGAGTAGGACCTGTAATCATGAAGAGTCCAGAGTTTGTGGAAATGGGAAGTACAAAGTCTCCCAGTGAATCATTAGGAGGGAAAGTCAGAGAGGTGCTGCTTCTGCCTCTGCTCCCAGAGCCATGCATTATTCTAACTGGAGCCATGAAACCATGTAAAAGGCTTTGATTTAATGAGAATAGTAAATCCTTAAGGATAGGAACCTCATCCTTATGGAGTAATTGCCTCTAACCTGATGCTTCATCAACCTATTTCACTGCTCTATCAGGATGGCACCTTGTGAATGATACATGTCATATGATCAGTGGATCCGATTGTCATGGGCTTCCTCCAACACCTATTTATTATAAAGTGGATCTATGATCTGATGTGATGTTATGCAGGAAAACTTGTCTGTGAATCAAATACCCCAGAACCCTTAAGACAGTGGTGCTGGCTGAGGTCTGTAGGCAGAAAAGGCAAACCTGCAGAAAATACATGTCTATTCTCATGAGAATGACCCTCTAGCCCTTCCAGAATGAAAGGGGCCCAAAATAGCCAACTTTCCAGAAAGTTGCCCATTGATCTCGTTGAGGAATTATGCTACATCAGCACCAAGCATTGCTTTTTGCTGCTGATAAGTTGGATATTTAGTGTTGACAGGAGCTAGAAGTAGCCTTGGTAGGTGGAGAATTAATGCTGTTAAGTCCATGTAGGCCATTGTTCCAACCCTGGAGTGGCCAATGCAAGGACTACCTGACATAAACTAGATTGACTTGTCCACTTGACTGTTTAGTGCCTCTTTCATGGTGGGTATTCTCTTTTGGCTGTTAATATGTACCTAAAAGAATATCACACTTCAGCCCTGGCTGGTGTGGCTCAGTGGATTGAGCACCTGCCTGTGAAATGAAAGATTATCACACTTCCTACTCTCATATTTATGTTTATCTATATACCTTTGTCCCAGACCTTTCTGTCCCAATCTTACTTTTTTTCCTACTCATGCCTCTGACCAGTTGACCAGGCCTTTCACCACTAATCCACCGTAATTCCATATATATCCTCACCTTGGACCTCTTCTCTTCTCACCCTAGGTGAATGACATGGTGCACCACTAGAGATCTACCTACTGAACCGATTTTTCCTTGCCACCGTCTTTCAGGACTGCCCATAAATAAGGCTTCAGTTCAGCTCCTAACAATTCTTAGCTTTACATTCATAGAAAGATATCCCATTTGTAAATCAAGTTTGGGCTTTTCTCTCTTCCTCCATCTGATCATATAGGATCACCCATAAAACCAAACATGTTAGCTAAGGAAGAGCACAGGTGTTAACAGTGACTGATACTATGGGAATCTGGGCTACTTCCTCACACTTACCTCTGCCCTTCGCTCCTTAAGACTTGGTCTGAGAAGACCTAGCTGATGATAGGCAGCGGTGGGCAACTGAGTCTCTTACAAGTAAGATATTAATTGCCATTTTTTCCCCCTGAATATCCTTTAAAAGGAGTTTGTACAGCAAACCTTGGAAGAAAAAGAACATCTCCTTCTAGAATAGAAGGAAAGTTTACTTACTTATCCATATAAAAACAGCTCCTTCCAGGGCAAAGGTCAGGCGGGTTTGCTTGCAGCCCATTATACAAGATTCCTAAACTCCTAAACTCAGATTCTTTGGCTGTGACATGTTTGTGAAATGTATTCTTATGACTTCTTCTAGAAGCTTGCGGGTTTTACAGTTGTAGATTTTTATAGCTGTAGGTTTTACATTTAGGTCTGTAAGTCACTTCAAGTTAGTTTATAAGGTGAAGGCAAAAGGTTTTTTTCCATGTGGAAAACAAGTTCTAGCACCATTTGTTGAGAAGACTACTGTTCTTTCCCCCATTTAATTATTATGGCACATTTATAGACAATCAGTTCATTATGTATGGATGGATAGATCTAAAGAGTTTCTATTTCCTTCCATCAAGCTACATATGTCTCCTTATACCTGGATTACTATAGCTCCACTTACTATAGTAAGTCTTTAAATCACAGAATTTGAACCTTCCAACTGTTTTTCTTTTCAAATTGTTTTGGCTAGTCTAGATCCTTTACATTTCCATATAAAGTTTAGAATTAGCTTTTCAGTGTCTTCAAATCTGGCTTTCTCCAAATTTGATTAACAATACTTTGTAGTTTTCAGTGTGCATGTCCTGCAAATATTTTATTACATTTACTACTGTTCTGACTCATGTTTTTATTACTAGATATAGAACTATAGCTTTTAAAAATTTGTATGGACTTTTAGAGAGGAGGGCCAGGAAGGAACAACACTTTGTTGTTCCACTCACTGGTTGATTCTTGTGTGTGTCTTAGCTGGGGATCAAGCCCACAATCTTGGTTTATTCGGATGATATTCTAACCAACTGAGCTACCCGGACCCAGTAGCATTGTAACTTCTTTTTGTATACTGACCTTGAATCCTGCGACTATGCTAGGCTCATTTTTTTAGTTCCAGTAGTGTGTATGTGTGTAGGTGTCTTAGGACTTTCTACATACGCATCATGTCAACTGCAATAAAGGACACTTTCTTTTCCAACATGTATGTTTTTTTGTTTTTGCCTTACTGCACTAGCTAGGGCCTTCAATCGGAATGGTGAGAATAGGTATTCTTGCCATATTCCTTATCTTAGGATGAAATAGTTCAGTGTTGTACCATCAAATATTATGTTAGCTACATGTTTTTCATAAATACTTTATTAAGGAAGTTCCCTTTTATATTTAGTTTGCTGAGAACTGTGTATCTTGAACAGATGACTTCGTCAATTGACTGACTGCATATATTTACACGACTATACAGTTTTTCTGTTAATATGGTGAATGACATGCATTGATTTTTAAATATTAACCCAATCTTAAATTCTTAAAAAAATCTTATAGAATGAACCACACTTGGTCATCGTGCATTATCCTTTCTACACATTGTGAGAATTGATTTGTTAATATTCTCTTAAGGATTTCTGTGTCTTTGCTCATGTTAAGATAATGGACTGTAGTATTTTTGTATCTTGTTTTGCAGGGGTGAGGGGTAGGATTATATGCCTTTCAATATTCCTATTGCCTGCAGAATCTTAAATTCTAAATTTGCCTCATTTTTTTCCTCCCTCACCACCCAGTCTCCAATAGCGACTCCATTTTACCCTCTTCTCAAGCAGCAATGCCTTCTGAGATGCCACATCGAATGCTGTATCTAAGTCCATTTCACCATACACAGTTCTCTGATCCACCCAAACTCTATTTCAGTACTTTCCCACATAGGATGGGCTTTCTCTTTCTGGAAGTCTTTTTTCTTTTTGGTTCAATCTTAAGTTCTCTATTCACATACTCTCAATTTTCCTGGACTTTCCTTGCTCTCCACAAAGGCTTACCATAAAAACTTGAGATAGCTCTGCTGGAATTTGTTTTTTATATTCCTAAGCAATTTGAAGTTTGTAGTGTTATC